TTTCCCCAACCTAGCAAGGCAGGCCAACACTCAAATCCAGGAAATACAGAGAACACCACAAAGATATTCTGCAAGAAGAGCCACCCCAAGGTACAAAATCATCAGATTCACCAGGGTTGAAATGAAGGAGAAAATACTAAGGGCAGCCAGAGAGAAAGGTCGGGTCACCCAAAAAGGGAAGCCCAACAGACTCACAGCAGATCTCTCGGCAGAAACACTACAAGCCAGAAGAGAGTGGGGGCCAATATTTAACATCCTTAAAGAAAAGAACTTTCAACCCAGAATTTCATATCCAGCCAAACTGAGCTTCAGAAGTGAAGGAAAAATAAAATCCTTTGTGAACAAGCAAGTAATCAGAGATTTTGTCACCACCAGGCCTGCTTTACAAGAGCTCCTGAAAGAGTCACTACACATAGAAGAAACAACCAGTACCAGCCATTCCAAAAACACACTAAATGCTAAAGAGCATCAACAAAATGAAGAATCTACATCACATAACATGCAAAACAGCCAGCTAGCATCAAAATGGCAGTATCAAATTCACACATAATAATATTAACCGTAAATGTAAATGGGCTAAATGCACCAATCAAAAGACACAGACTGGTAAATTGGATAAAAAACCAAAACCCATCAGTGTGCTGTATCCAGGAAACCCATCTCACATGTAAGGATACACAAAGGCTCAAAATAAAGGGATGGAGGAAGATTTACCAAGCAAATGGAGAGCAAAAAAAGCAGGAGTTGCAATTCTCATCTCTGATAAAATAGACTTTAAAGAAACAAAGATCAAAAGAGACAAAGAAGGCCATTACATAATGGTAAAAGGATCAATACAACAAGAAGAGCTAACGATCCTAAACATATATGGACCCAATACAGGAGCACCCAGATATATAAGGCAAGTTCTTAATGACTTACAAAGAGACTTAGACTCCCACACAATAACAGTGGGAGACTATAACACTCCACTGTCAATATTAGACAGATCAACCAGACAGAAAATTAATGAGGACATCCAGGGCTTGAACTCAGACCTGGAACAAGCAAACCTGATAGACATTTACAGAACTCTCCACCCCAAATCCACAGAATATACATTCTTCTCAGCAATACATCACACCTACTCTAAAATTGACTACATAATTGGAAGTAAAGCACTCCTCAGCAAATGCAAAACAATGGAAAACATAACAAACAGTCTCTCAGGCCATAGTGCATTCAAGTTAGAACTCAGAATTCAGAAACCAACCCAGAACGGCACAGCTTCATGGAAACTGAACAACTGGCTCTTGAATGTTGACTGGATAAACAATGAAATGAAGGCAGAAATAAAGAAGTTCTTCGAAACCAATGAGAACAAAGACACAACATGCCAGAATCTCTGGGATACATTTAAAGCAGTCCCTAGAGGAAAATATATAGCAATAAGTGCCCATATGAGAAAAGTGGAGAGATCCAAAATTGACACCCTATCGTCAAAATTGAAAGAGCTAGAGGAGCAAGATCAAAAAAACTCAAAACCCAGCAGAAGACAAGAAATAACTAAGATCAGAGCTGAACTGAAGGAGATTGAGACACAAAAAACCCTTCAAAAAATCAGTAAGTACAAGAGCTGGGTTTTTGGAAAGATCAACAAAATAGACAGACCACTAGCCAGATTGATTAAAAATAAAAGAGAGAACAACCGAATAGATGCAATAAAAAACAATAAAGGGGAAATCACCACAGAATCCACAGAAATTCAAACCATCATCAGATAATATTACAAACAACTCTATGCACATAAACTAGTAAACCTGGAAGAAATGGATAAATTCCTTGACTCCTGTGTCCTCCCAAGCCTAAACCAGGAGGAAGCCGAAACTATGAATAGACCAATAACAAGGTCAAAAGTCGAGGCAGCAATTAAGACCTACCACACAAAAAAAGCCCAGGTCCAGATGGGTTCACAGCCGAATTCTACCAGACACACAAAGAGGAGCTGGTACCATTCCTTCTGAAACTATTCCAAATAATCCAAAAAGAGGGAATACTTCCCAAATCATTTTATGAGACCAACATCATCCTGTTACCAAAACCTGGCAGAGACCCAACAAGAAAAGAAAACTTCAGGCCAATATCCATGATGAACATAGATGCAAAAATCTTCAATAAAATACTGGCAAGCCGATTGCAACAGCACATCAGAAAACTTATCCACCATGTTCAAGCAGGATTCATCCCGGGGATGCAAGGCTGGTTCAACATACACAAGTCCATAAACGTAATTCAGCACATAAACAGAACCAAAAACAAAAACCACATGATTATCTCAATTGACACAGAGAAGGCATTCGACAAAATTCAACAGCACTTTATGCTAAAAACCCTCAATAAACTCGGTATTGATGGAATGTATCTCAAAGTAATAAAAGTTATTTATGACAAACCAACAGCCAATATCATACTGAATGGGCAAAAACTGGAATCATTCCCTTTGAAATCTGGCACTCGACAAGGATGCCCTTTTTCACCACTCCTATTCAATATAGCACTGGAAGTTCTAGCCAGAGCAATCAGGCAAGAAAAAGAAATAAAGGGTATTCAAATAGAAAAGGTGGAAGCCAAATTGTCTCTATTTGCAGACGACATGATACTATATCTAGAAGACCCCACCGTCTCAGCCCAAAAACTCCTGAAACTGCTACAGTAATCAAAACAGCATAGTACTGGTACCAAAACAGAGATACAGACCCATGGAACAAAACAGATGCATCGGAGGCAACACAACATATCTACAACCATACAATCTTTGATAAACCTTACAAAAACAAGCAATGGGGAAAGGATTCCCTGTTTAATAAATGGTGTTGGGAAAACTGGCTGGCCATGTGCAGAAAGCAGAAACTGGACCCCTTCCTGACACCTTACACTAAAATTAACTCCAGATGGATTAAAGACTTAAACATAAGACCTGGCACCATAAAAACCCTAGAAGAAAATCTAGGCAAAACCATCAGGACATAGGAGTAGGCAAGGACTTCATGAACAAAACACCAAAAGCATTGGCAACAAAAGCCAAAATAGACAAATGGGACCTAATGAAACTCCACAGCTTCTGCACGGCAAAAGAAACAGTCACTAGAGTGAATCGGCAACCAACAGAATGGGAAAAAATTTTTGCATTTTATCCATCTGACAAAGGACTGATATCCAGAATTTACAAAGAACTCAAACAGATTTACAGGAAAAAAAACAAACAAGCCCATTCAAAAATGGGCAAAGGATATGAACAGATACTTTACAAAAGAAGACATACATGAGGCCAACAAACATATGAAAAAATGCTTATCATCACTGGTCATTAGAGAGATGCAAATCAAAACCACATTGAGATACCATCTCACGCCAGTTAGAATGGCGATCATTAAAAAATCTGGAGACTACAGATGCTGGAGAGGATGTGGAGAAATAAGAACACTTTTACACTGTTGGTGGGTGTGTAAATTAGTTCAACCATTGTGGAAGACAGTGTGGCCATTCCTCAAGGCCTTAGAAATAGAAATTCCATTTGACCCAGCAATCCCATTACTGGGTATATACACAAAGGACTATAAATCGTTCTACTATAAGGACACATGCACACAAATGTTCATTGCAGCACTGTTTACAATAGCAAAGACCTGGAACCAACCCAAATGCCCATCGATGATAGACTGGATTGGGAAAATGTGGCACATATACACCATGGAATATTATGCAGCAATCAGAAATGATGAGTTTGTGTCGTTTGTAGGGACATGGATGAATCTGGAGAACATCATTCTCAGCAAACTGACACAAGAAGAGAAAATGAAATACCGCATATTCTCACTCATAGGCGGGTGATGAAAAATGAGAACACATGGACACAGGGAGGGGAGTACTTAACACTGGGGTCTATTGGGGGGAATAGGGGAGGGACAGCAGCGGGGCGGGTGGGAGCTGGGGAGGAATAGCCTGGGGAGAAATGCCAAATGTGGGTGAAGGCGAGAAAGGAAGCAAAACACACTGCCATGTGTGTACCTATGCAACTGTCTTGCATGTTCTGCACATGTACCCCAAAACCTAAAATGCAATAAAAAAAAAACTACAATGATTATACCCTTCCACAAAAATCTTTACAGCTATTCTTTTCAGAAATTAAACCAGATAGGGTCAGAGATACCAAGAATTCATATGTGTTAGATCTGTATTGTCCTTTACCATACAAAGCACTTTATTTGGTTAAATCCTCACAATGACCCTGTAATTTCAAATGAGGAAATAGACGTTTAGAAAGATTCATTTGTTCATGTAAGTCATAATAACATAACAATTTTAAAGTTAAGATAGACATTGTTTTGAATCCCAGCTCTGCTACTTTGCCACTTACAAGCATTGTGAAATTGGGCAACCTCTCTAAACCTCAGTTCCCTTATTTGTAAAATGAGAGTAATAGTGCCTATCTCCTAGGATTATTGTAGGATTCAATGAAATAAAAAATACAGAAAGTGCTGGACATAATCAGCAATACATGTTAAGCACTCAAACAGAGTTGGGTAAAAGTTAGATACTCAACTTAACAATGGGTATGTTAAATACTCACTCATTTTCAGCAAGCTATTTAACCTCTTGACCCCTCAGCTTTTTCACCCATAAAATGGTAATAACAATATCTACTTAATGGAGCTACTGTGATGATGAAATACGTATAACTGTATGTACAGTGATTAATGGAGAATGATATGTCTATATATGCTTATGCTTATACCTAAGAGGATATATACCTAATAAATAAGTGGCAGGAACAGAATCAGAAGCTAGATCTTCTATACTTAGTCCTCTTACTACCAACAGTTAGATATTCCTGATTTTATCAAATTACTCAATATCTTTTTAAAAATCTAAATATAGAATAGAATTTTCTTACAACTCCACTGAGAATAGTCTAAAGACATCTGTGGAAAGAAATCAAAAGGGAAATAAGTATAAGTTACCTGAATTAAAGCCTCACTCAGCATGTCTTCCTTAACCTCCAGAATTATGTTTCTTATCTCTTCATAAGGCATGCGATATGATCCCAGAAAGATGGCTAAAATAAAATTTGATTTTATTAAAAGTAGAACAGCATCAACATGTTAAAGTCCTAATAAATGCCTGATTTTCATTTCATAGACTCAAAATATGAAATTTGTCACTAATACTAATTTACAGAATTGTGAACAAACAAAAGGTGTTCCATTTGATGGACTACTCACTCTATCTTTCTAGATAAAATGGCATATCTTCTCAAGCTCTAATGTTCACAGTTAGTGCATATTTACACACAAAATAATATTCCTACTAATAGCACTCATGACTATATGCTTAGGCTTCTCAGATTAGAATGATACATAAAATAACCCATAAAAACTTAGTGATTTTATTTCAGGTTAAGCTTCTTCTTCAATGAAGAATTTAGTGTGGAGATTGTCAGATGCATCCAACACAGTATTTCTCAGGAAATACAATAAAATAACCAAATAAAAAATTATATCAATCTACTCTGCAATTCTCCCACATAAGAAAACAATTAAAGTGCCTGAATCAACAGTGTGCCCTGCATTCCTGCTTATATTCCTGCGTACACTATTACTTACTTTATATACTGACTCACAATTTCCCCTGCCAACATCTTCTTAAATGGAAATCTATCATATCATAGTAGAATAATTCAGCAAATTAAACCTAGAATAGCTAACAATTATTCACAAGGTAATTATAACAACATGTTCCATTAAACATTTTTATTAAGAACACAGATGTGCTCTTATTACCAGAACTTGAACATTTCTTAGAACATTTTTTTCATGAAAAGGTCTCTATGCCTTCAGCTGTAACAAAAGGAAACAGAATCCTCACTCTATAGTCAAATGATTTACATTATACGTAAGACCAAATCAGATCCCCACAATCTAAAACAAAAATGTTGACAGATATCAACCAGCAATTAAGATCATACTATGTTTTAAAGTACTGATCGTCAACTTTGAAAATGTACTATCAAGTAAGCAATGCACACATTCACAACAGCTATTAGTAAACTGCTTTTCTGATAGCAACATTTCTACTGACATGAGAATGATGTGTTGTTTATTTTAATGATTCCCTACACCACATTCCTTAACAAGATAAACTCCCATGGTATTACTTTGTGCAATTAGAAATGCTTGACATGTTGAAATTTCTGATGCACAGTGTTTTACTATCAGCAAAATCTAAATGCAGTCTACTGTAGTGACAGAACAAAAATTCTGATTTCAAGAAGGAAGAGTGTGTTGAAACTTAAAGGCCTACATAAATGAAGATGAGTTTAACTGTCCATCTGCTTTAGCAAAAGTATATTTAATGGGTGACTGGTTTGTTAAAGGCTTCAAGGTTCACTAACCAGTTTTTAAATGCAGTTAAAGTTAACAATTTAACTAGTTCACATCACAATTACTTCAAACATAAAGGAATAGCAGTAAAAGGATTTGCCCAGTGTAACTAGTGAATACTCTAAAACTATCAATCCCAGGTCTAGGCAGAAGGAAAAAATGTCACTTTTTGTCATTTCTGCCTTATGTTTCACTATGTCCTCTAACAATGTTTTACTATCAGTACTTTCCAAATCTTTACTATTCACAAGTTTCAGGTGGGCTGACCGAGTCTGAATTAGAATTTTCTCTATACTGGCTAAGTGAAAAAAAGGCATCCAAATCATGTTTACACCGAATTTGTTTCTAGAAGACGCTGAATATGCCTGTTTAAATGGTTACAACTTTGACTAAATACATTAAACATCCCCCACCCCTCTCACCACTACCTACACCAACCCTACTAAGAAAATATTACATACACAGATTCTGAGCTGTTTTGGGATCCAAAATTCTCAGTTCTTTCACTTTCTTCTTTGTAGGCACAGTCTTCTTCTCTTCTAATGTTTCTGCATTCTTTTGAACTGAAAGAAAAAATGTTGATTCATAAACAATAATGGTACTAATCCAAGTACATGGAATAACATTAGTAAGGCATATTAACTACATTAATAAAGCTCATTCTGAAATCAATAAATGTGTTTATTTCATTAGTTCAAGGAAGAGGATAAACATAAAAATACAGACCTGTTTAGAGTTTTCACTACAAATTAAATATCAGCACTTAAGCAGAAAAGATAAGCCAAATAGAACCAAAAATCAATTGCTCCGTCTTACCTAATGTGTAACATTAATTACTCCTTTACCAGGTACCTACAGCAGTACTGGAATTAAATATATAGTACAGTCTCACTAATTTGAACTAATTGAGGGAAAAGGAAGACGTGCATTTCTCTTGAAGTATGCTAAAATTTAAGCATTTATTTAATTCAGAGCAATTCTGAAATTGCTCTAAAGCACCTAAGGTAAGTTTAACTGCTAAACAGGTTGCCATATAAAAATTCCTGCTGAGATGGTTTTGAAGAATAGGTATGAAGCATTTGCAAGTTATACAACAGTAGCACCATTTGCATACATGTAATTAAAGAGACTCAGTGATGTGCTCTTTTGAGTAAGTCAGCTTTGTCTCCCTCACTATTTGAAAAATACTATTTGCTTTCTTACAACAGAAGATTTACTTAGCTTTCTTCAGAAGGTCACCATATAATTCAAAATAGTTTAAAGGACTGAAAGTGTAAGGAGTAGCAATGCCAAGGAGTGGCTTTAGCCTTCCATAACCTCCATCAGCCAACTCCCCAAGTAAGCGATCCCAAAAAGCAATGTGGCTATCTGCTATGAAAATAAAGCATTAAGTTAAATCCCCAAACCCCTCCTGTATAGAAATTTTATAGCTACCATTGTACTCAAGTGTTGGCAGTTTACCTTTTCCAATATAAATACAGGGTTTTAAGTAATGGGACCAACAAAAACTATGAGAAAAATAAAGCCAAAACTTTTTCAGTAAAGTAGAGTGTTAGGTCCTTGCCCCCAAATTCATGCTGCTAAACTCTATCACTGATTCATACATGACCATAATCATAATCATGCTGCTGCTTTATCAATCTTAAAAGATTAATTTCATTTTGAGGCAATAATGATAACATTTTTATTCATCTAACCTTTTTTAAAAAGACCACAAATTCATTATTGATTTTCTTTTTTAAAGAAAAAGCAACATAAAGCCACAGTACATTTTTACTAAGGCAATATGTTCGTAGATGTTACCATCTTAAAAACTTTTGCAACATCCTATAGAATTCATCAAAATATTGCAACTCCGTTAAGACTTCCTTTGTTTTAATGGTACAAAATATAGAAAAATTAAGTGAGCATACTACAGAAATACCAGATACTAATAAAATAAATTACCTGAATACCAGTGCTACCAGTGCTAAATTTTATCATTCTGGCCAATCTAAAGTTATGTGCAGTCTAAGGAGACTGGATAATAATTACACTTAAAAATTATGATCTTACGAGCAGTTTGCCATGTGAATTCTACACAATAGTCATTGCTACTGCTGGAAGAAAAGTGACTTTTAATATACTTCTTTTAAACTATATTAAAAGAACATATTTTATATTTATATTTATCTGTATATGTTTCTAAATATATGTTTTAAAATAAAAAACACATCTCAAATATTCTTCAAAGGATCTTTCTAAGAGTATAGTCTTTCATAGGCAATAATCAACATTTTAATTTACTCTAATTATCAAGCTAGTTCCAGCATAAGACAACTGTAGTAAGGAAATGACAGTCCAATAGTTATTTACTTTGTCTATAAAACGTGAAGTATCTGAATCATATTAAAATTACTTTTAGAATCATTTGCTAAATTGAATCCAGTGAAGGAAATAGTCAAGAAAATTTTCCTAATCCTTCAATATGCCTTGGAATTCACTATGAGAGACTAATTAGCCAAGTACACATATATGAAAAAAATGCTATGCCATGAAGGACCTACAAAGACAGTTCTGCAAACTAACAGGATCCGGTAACCCAGGAATGGATAATGCTCATTTCATGACTTTCTATTTTTGCATTTTTTAAATTAAAATATGATCTAGCCTCTCCCCTTTTCAAGTGAACAAATTATTTAAAATTAAGATTAGATGCCCTAAATATCTAAAATTCACAGTTTTCTTTCTTGAATCGTACTGTATTTTCCTTGTGTTATACAACTTGGCTTAAATCCTGGGTTCAAAAAGTGATAAGTATTCCATGAGTGGGCACTGCTTTTTTGAGAATCACTAGAGAAAAACAAGTTTAAAACAGTTCTCTAACTAGACAGGCTTTCAAAACTAATCATATTTTTGCCATGATAAATAATTACAGACCAGTGGCTATTATTGCCTTTGGCCTTCTTCTTTTTTAAAAGCATTCCTTAGGGATCACAATCACAGGCTTAGATAAATAGAGAGTTCAAAGAACAGCAATGTGACATCAAACATCCCTACAGTGTTGAACACTTAGGTTAAAAATTGCCTGCTTTTATAGTGACCTCAAAATGTCACTTGTCCTAGGATATTTTAATTCTGTATGTTTCTAACGGTTACAAAACTTTAAATAAATAGCAATTCTATAATTATTTGAAATTACTTGGATGAAACTAAAAAGTTTTTTTTTTAAGTTTCAATACAAAATCTTCAAGAATTGATTTTATCATCAACTGCCCTGTGGTCCTTAGGTTCATAAGGGGGCCTAGAGTCAAACATGACCTTCCCTTACAAATGAAAAAACATGGTTTTGGAAAAACTGGTTTTGAATCCAACAGATTGAATTGAGTGTGTAAATTGGCACTGCTAATTGACAAAATAATAATGAAACATTATAATATGCTGTCTGCAGGAAGATAATCATAATAATAAAGACATTTGTATTAAAGACATGTTAATATCAAGATACTCATCATCTAAGATAAAATGCCCACTGAGTATTCTTATATTTCCTTTAATATATGGGTTTTTACAAGCAACTGTACAATAAATGTATTCCTTTACAACTGAGAAATGCTCATCAGCATAAATACAGTAAACATGGTTATATTCTTCCCCCAAACTAATATAGGCAATGTTCAGGAATTTCCTATTAATTTCTGCTATCCCAGTGGATACACAGAACATGTGACAAGATGTTCTAATTTGTAGCAAGTATTAAGATATTTTAAATAGGTAACATTGGATGTTTAACATAGTGACAAGTAACCATGAATCATGATAAAATTTGCAAAACTATGTTCTCTTAAAATTTCAGTGAGAAAGACTGATTTCTGTAGTCAGAATCACATTCATTCATCTACCAAATATTTCTTGAACACCTACAATGAATTAGCCTAGCATGAGCACACAATGGTACGCAACACATAAATATCTACTCATACCTCATGGTCATATGTAAACCACTAATTATGGAAGTATTCCCAAAAGGTATCTAACATTTATAGTTTTCTTTATGCATAAAAATATAGCTTGAATGAATACATGCATATCACTGAGTGAATTCTCATTATGTTATTCCAAGCATAGTTCCGTATCAGGGAACATATCTTTGAATCAGCATTACGTGTTGTGTCATAAGAAATATGAGGAAAATTAAAAGCATGTCCCTTCCTATAAGGTACACTATATTCAGGCCGGGGGTGGTGGCTCACTTCTGTAATCCCAGCACTTTGGAAGGCCAAGGTGAGTGGATCGCATGAGATCAGCAGTTAGAGACCAACCTGGCCAACATGGCGAAACCCCGTCTCCACTAAAAATACAAAAATTAGTCAGGTATGGTGGCACGTGTCTGTAATCCCAGCTATTCAGGAGGCTGAGGCAGGAGAATCATGTGAACTAGGGAGGCAGAGGTTGCAGTGAGCCGAGATCACACCACTGCATTCCAGCCTGGGCAACAAGAGTGAAATTCCATCTCGGGGGAAAAAAAAAATGATACTACATACAAAGCCAGGGTAAATAAAGCTAATAATAGTAGTGTCAACAAACACACTGAAAATGTATGTAACTTCATGGATACATATTTGTATATTTAACAAGTAAATGTCCAACTGTACTTTTACATATAACATATAAATATAAGAATTGTGATCCATATGTACTCAAATACATATTTTATCCATGTGGATACAATTCCAGAGGTGATTCCAGCTACCTGGAAATAATTTTTTAACATACTGGTTGAAATAGTATTTTAATTTCAATTAATGACTTGATAATGTTAAAATGAATGCAAGAATGGCAATGAGAGATATGGAAAATCGACTGGTTTTTGTGTGTGATAGGTTTAAGTATATTTTTGTTATTTTCTACTCTATTCTGAATCATCTTTATCTATGCATTTCTGAAAATATCATTTGAACCTGATGGAAAAGGGCAAGGAAGATTAGATCCACAGATAAATACATATGCAATACACAACAGATGACAATATTACAAAAACAACAATAACAGTAGTAGTAGTAGTAGTAGTAGTCTTACTACTGGTAACCACAAATACAATCTTCACGAGCACCTCCAAAAGCAATTTTTATTAAATATTTGCTCTGTATCTGGCATTAACTTATATACCATTTTATATGATAGGTATTAACCACTGTCATTTTACAAATGAGGAAATCAAGGACAAATTTAATCATATGCCCAAGGTCATATAGCTAGTAATGAAAACATGCTCAACTTCACCAGGGATCAGGAAAATGCAAATGAAAATAATCAAATAAATACTATTCATAGTTATCAAATTGAAAAAAAATTTTAAGTCACATAATACCAAGTATTGATGAACATACAAATAAGAATTTGATTATGCCAACAGTTGGCAGTAAATATTCACCAATGACTTAAAATATACATGTATCTAATATATTTGAATATATGTATGCTTGTCATAAATATATCCCAGCATTTCCACTTGTAGGTTAAATGGTCAAGGAGACAAAAATGTTCACTGCACAGTGTTTATAACAGTAGAAAAATTATAAAC